ATATCAGGTCAGTCGAGCAGAACAAATGTTTAGCCACTTGGCTATGATAGTAGCCAAGTGGCTAACAAAGGTAAACAGAAGTTTTCCCTACTAACAAATGTTATCTTGTTTCAGGATACATAATACCTGTCATTATCCAACGACACATCTGCTTGCCTGTATCTTTTGCTCGTTTCTCCTCTTCTTTTGCTCTTTTTTTTCTAAACTGAGAACCTGATCTCTTTGACCTTTTCTTGTCCATCAGTAATTTTGCACTCCAGTATCAACACCCAACCCGAAAACATAGCCTAACAGACCTACACCTCAATGCACAGATTCGATTATATAGGGTTTTGTTTTTCACACAATCCAGGAAAAATAATACATAATGGATTTGGATTGACAATATTATGACTGAAATGTGCACTATTTGGAAGGAGCCCGCCCCCTCCCCTTTCGACTGGTTGTGTGTGAGACTTCAGCACAAGCAACAGCAGCAAACAGGCGCAGCGAGGGCCCTCGCGCTCACTTTTCGCGTATATGTGTGTGATGAAAACACTTCAGTGCAAATTATAAGTCTATATAATGATGGGTTTTATTTTTGTGTTTGTTGTAGGGCTGTCAACGTTAAAACATTAACGCCGTCATCACAATTAACGCGATTAAAAATTTTAATGCAACAACCCATCTGAAGCGCAGAATGGACAAACCGCCCGAAATTCGTTGACAGAGGGATTTTGAGTCATTCTGCATTCCAGATGGATTAATTGCATTAAAAAAAAATTAATCGCGTTAATTGTGATGACTGCATAAAACAATGACAGCCCTAGTTTGGTGGTTTGTTTTTATTTTGTTTTATTAGATGCCGCTCCAGCCAGAGAATCTTTGGTGTCTAGAACACTTTTTGTGTAATTATAACAATATGTAATTTATGACCCGGTTACATTCAACCCCCAAGAATACCATAAAATCCTAAACAGGATCCCAGGAAAGAGACCAGTCTTTCTCAAAGTGTGGTACTCTCATTGGTGGTACGTGGGAAATCTCCA